AGCTTCGGAGAGAGTATCTGAACCTTGTGGTAAGAAATTCTCGCTTGTGCCTGTCAACGGAAATCATTTTAGGAGGGTAGATTGTAGTACCCCTTTCGATTTATATAATTTCTCGTATTTTATTTTAATTATTCACATTTTATTTTATTTGTGTGTTGAGTAATTGTATGAATTTTATTTTATATTCGCAAATTGGATATCAAAGTGATTGCCATCACTTTGAATAATTGTCGAACTGAATGTAATGTGGTTTATTTCGTGGAAATCCTAGAGTTGTAGGTACTTGGAGTTGTCCTTGATCTGTTAGTTTTGGTTTGGAGTCGTTTCGAGTTGTATTTTGAGAGTTATGATTTTTCTAAACCGAGCATGTTGTTGAACCGTAATAAATTCACCATAAATCGAGTTGTTATTCTTTTGGGTTGAAATTTTAATATGTTGTGCCTATGAGTATGTAAAATATGTGTACCAATACCCTGATTTTATTTTTGAGTTTTTGGAGTTCAAATGGTTAAAACGGTTTCTGGGCAGAAACTTGTAAAAATCATTAAAAATCGTACACTTGGAGTTTTGAGCTGAAACTTTTCAGGAACATGTTATTCTGTGATGTTTTAGGTTGTGTAAAAATGTCAGATCAAAATTCGAAGTGTAGCTATGTGAACTGTTAAACGCTGAATTTGGCGCTGTTTCTGCTTTAATTATTTAAAAATGCTCCTGGTTGAATTTAGGGCTGAAACTTGGTGAGTTTATGTGTTTATGCATGTTTTATAATGTGGTAAAGTATCAGGTTGATTGGATGAGCCTAACTCCTGATTCTGAATTTAGTTCATTTTAGAGTCTAAAGGTTCGGTTATCGGTTGTTTAGGTTAGGATTGGATTTTGTTGATGTTGGCATGACTTATGTGTATTATTTGATGAATTTCAGTCATGTCCAGGTCTGGTAATAACTCCATAGTGTCTTAACTCGGTTAAGGAATCCACGAGTCACTTGGTCGATGTGATTTCGGCTAAGTATATGTGCCTTATGTGTTGTTTTGTACTGGGCAGTCACTGATAGGTCCTTATAAATTGTTGTAGGTCCTTCGAGCTGAACTCGTGCCGTAATTCCTTCAACTTTGTGTTTGGCTATACCTCTTGCTATCCAGGTGGGTTTTATTTGAAAATTTCTATGCATTAATTAGTTGTTATTGTTGTGGTATGATCAAAGTATGCATGTGAACCATGTAGCCTTCGATGTGAGCCATATTGGCCGTCGAATGGTTATCCCCATAGCTATAGAACGTACCCGATGGGGTGTCTCCTTTATTTATGTATGGCAGTCAGGGCGTGAGCCTTGGCTGGTGATCCTCGATGTAAGTCCGAAGGGATGTTTCCGGGCATTCGGGGTGGATTTACTCCCACTGTCTGGGCATCATATGTAAGGCCCGCGGGGGATTTCGATACGTGTATCAGCATTGGTGTATTGGTATAGGTGTGCACATGAGAGTTGACTCTGGGAAGAAGATGGGATATTAATTGATTTGTGTTCATACTGCGACCTGCTTTATTTTATAAATTTGAATATTAATTATTGCATAGCGGTGAGCACCTCGATTTTCCTATTGTGCTCATCCCCACCTGCTCTTCATCGATGCAGGTTAGTAATTTGCGGGCACGACAGAGGGAGGCGAGTGGTGGTCATGTTACTGATTCCTTCCGCTGTTTAAATTGCTTAGTATCATTTATACATTTCTGATTTACGATGAGTACTGGATTATTGATAGGGAGTGTACTCCCTAGTATTTATGAATTTGACGAACCCAGTTTTGGGAGTTGATGTTATTTATGAACCCGGTTTGGGTGTTGGCATGATTATGAACCCGGTTGGGGTGTTGGCATGATTATTGAACCCGTTTGGGAGTTGCATTTATGATATTGTTGATATTGTTTTTGGAAATGAGTAGCGCCTCAAGTGAATTGAAATAAATTTTGAAAAATTTATTCTGAATTTCAGCAAATAAAAGTAGGGTGTTACATAGATCATGTCATCGGATGTCGGGTTTCTCTAGTTGAATCCCTCATGTTGCCATTAAGAACCTTCTTCAACAATGTTTCCCTCCCTCGAAGAATCACTTCCTCACACGGCCGTCAGCGACGGAGCCGTCGTTGCCCTCACCGTCTCAGCAGCTCCTCATCTTATCACCTTAGACGACAAACCGCTATCTCCGGCCGTTGAAGGGTCAGCGCGCCTCCTCGGTTTGGTGGTCCCCAATCAAGAAGAAGAAGAGAGTGTAGTGCCATTTTTTATTTATATAATTTCTCACATTTTATTTTAATTATCCGCATTTTATTTTATTTATGTGTTGCTATTATTTTATGTGCAAAGCTTGAATATTATCCTTATATGCATGGCCTGACTTATAAATTGTTGGCTTGTATTTTATTTTATTATTGCTTGTTTCTATTTCATTTTATTTATTTGCATTCGATTACTATCGTGTGCTCGTTTTATATTCTTATGAATTTTCCCTCAATTTTATATAATTGCTTGTCTTTATATTTTTATATGATTGCTCTTATCCTTATGTTATGTATATTTTTTTTTTTCAAAACGATAGGCATTCATATCACTAATAAAATTACAGAGTACAATCCGAAGGCTAAACAGCCTAATGTTACAGACCAAAGAACATAGACCATCATCAAGAAGGTCTAAACTCCCAGCACAACAATCCCTCCAAAAATAAAGATGTATCCCAACACAACAACACAATCATCATGAAGAAACAGTTAAAGCCAGGAAACCTGATTCCAATAACTGCACGTAGACCCAAACACAGAAAAATAGCAGAGGCAGGCTAAATAACAATGTACAAAAAGAGGGATAACACTACCAAAACCAATAGTGGACCTAGTGACCTTCCTCTCCTTCACTACTACTCAGTCACAAGCCTGCATTCCTTGAACTCCACCCACTGCAGCCCTGAGAAGTGCATCATCTGGCATCCAAATGGTCTCAAACTTCCAGAGATTCCGGGCTTTTCATGGCTACCGTAATATGTAAGTAGTCAGCTCAATCCTGGATTCTGAAATATCTCTTTTATCCACCGAGCAGACATTCCACCACCATTGTTTGAATGTGCCTATTTGAGTAGCCTCAGTCCATTGAACTGGAACTAACTTCCAGATCCTCTTGGACCTAACACAATACAGTAGGACGTGCTCTACTGATTCCCACTCCTCACCACAACTACAGCATCTGGGATCTACTTTAAGTCCTCTTTTCTTCAAATTCAGACAAGCTGGGAGTGTATTACTACAACACTTCCGGATGAAGTGTTTGAGTTTATGCTTAACTTTCAGACTCCGTCTTCTTCCTCTGATTTGCCTAATTCATTGCTCTCAGCTACATCAAGCTCCATAAGTCTATTAAACACCAAATGAGAATATGAGCTTGCAACAGAATATTTTCCTTTAGCATCCGAAACCCACTTCCATCTATCAGACAGTAGAGGGTCTAGAGATTTTATATTGAGGATAGCCTCAACATCTGATTGGTGAAAGCATTCAGTCAGCAAACTCCTGTTCCAAGTTTTCTCATCCTCATGAACCAACTCCTTAACCCAAGTCGCTCATCCCAACCTTATTTCTGACAGGCAATCCCCTCACATTCCCAGACAACCATGGATCATGCCAGATATTTATATGCCTGCCATGCTTTACCTCCACTCGAAAGCAAGCTTTAAATTGGTCTTTAACTCCGATCCAGTTACTCCACAGCCAAGAGACATTGTATGGCCTTCTAGCTTGTAGCATAGAGCAGTCATGAAAGTACTTACCTTTTAAAACCCAGGTCATGAGCAAGTTGGGATGACTGACTAACCTTCATAGTTGGTTGAGTATTAGAGCTTCATTGAACAATTCCACATCTCTAAATCCCAGTCCTCCCACAGGCTTAGGTAATGTCAGTGATTCCCATTTCTTCCAGTGTACCCCAGCCTGCAGGTCTTCTTTACTCCACCAAAAACCAGCTATTTCATGAGAAACACCTTTGGGAAGGCAAAAACAGAACATTGAGAAGACATGAAGTGCACCCAAAACAACCTTCATTCATACATCCTTGCCAGCATTAGATAGAAACTGATTCTTCCAACTCACTAATTTATCCCTCACAGCCTTCAGAATATAGTCAACGACTCATTAGATTTACCAATTCCTAGTGGCAAACCTAGGTATCTGGTATATCTATGAGATTGAATATCCCCCAACAGATGACAAATAACAGCTTTATGCACAGGCAAATAGTTCCTACTGAAGAAAATGGAAAATTTCCCTAGATTCACCCTCTGACCTGTGAATCTTTGGCAAAACACAGCCCTGTAGTATCCCACTTGATGTTTGCAGATGATACTTTGATAATGTGTGAAGCCAATAAGAACCATGCTCGAGTGAAACACTACAGGGCTGTGTTTTGCAATTTTCAGACCATTAAACGAACCCTTTCTCTCTTCATCTTTTATGGGCCTAGACAGCACCTCAGAGATGATAATGAAAATGTAGGGTGAAATAGGATCACCTTATCTGATGCCCCTGGAAGTAGAGATTTAACCTTTCAATTCTCCATTGATATTGAAAGAAAAGGTATTAGAAGAGATGCAAGCCAAATCTAGTTCACAACCACAGGATGAAAACCCATTTTCAGCATCACTTTCCTGACACTCTCTCACTCAATGCGGTCAAAGGACTTTTACATATCAAGTTTCAATAACATGTAGCTCTTTCTTCATGAGGTGTGTCTGTTTAGGAAGTGCACACTTTCCTGAGCAATCACCACATTATCCAATAGCTACCTTCATGGGATGAAGGCAACTTGATTCTCATTGACACATGCAGATAAACAAGGCTTGATCCTCTAAGACAATATCTTAGCAATGACTCTATAAGCCACTCCACACAGACTGATGGGCCTGTATTGCTTTAAATTTGTAGGGTTCATGCATTGAAGTATTAAAGATATTACAGTGTGATTCCAGCTCTTCAGGAGTTAACTCGATTAAAAAAAAGCTAAGGAGAGCTTTAGAAAAACCATCAAAGATCACATTCTAAAACTTTTGAAAGAAAATGGGGTTCATACCATATTGGCCAGGTGCTTTTCCAGGATCAAAGCTAAATAGTGCTGATTTGATTTCTTCTTTTGTAACTGAGGCTGTAACGGTTGAGTTCATGTCAGCTGTTGTTGTCTCTGGGATAAGGTGCAAGAGTTTAGCTTCTTCAATAGATCATTCTAAGCAAAACAATTGTTCATAGAATCTGCAAATGTGAAGTTGTATCTCTTCTTCATTAGTGTACACCTGGTTGAGATCATCTACTAAGTGTGAGATATCATTTATTCTTCTTATCTATATGGTAATTGCATGGAAGTACTTAGTGTTTGAATCCCCATCTCTTAGCCACTGTGGTTTGGCCTTTTGAGCCCAAAAAAGTTCCTCTGCCTTAGTCAATCTGTTCAAATCCCCTCTCAATCTGTGCCATTCTCCCCAGTCTCTATTGTTTCCAAGAGTGCTCATCTCCTCCAATTTTTTTGTGAGAAGCTGTTTCTCTTTAATCTGATCTCTTCTGAAAGATGAACTCCATTTCAGTAAGGCCACTCTGGTTGCCTTAATATTCTCGGAAACCTGATACATTGGAGTGTCTGATTGTTCAATGGACCACCCTTGTTGCATAACTTCTCTAACCCTTTCTCTTCTAAACCATCTCTCGTCAAAGAAAAACCTTCTCACATTCTTTCTGAGATTCTGAGGATCGTCATTTAAGAATAATAGCCTGTGATCAGAAGCACTTCTATAGTTATTCTCCACCACTGCATGTTGATGTTCCTCCAGCCAATCATAAGAAGCAAATATCTTGTCTATCTTCTCCTCTATGAACCCCTCTGCTTCCCTGTTATTGCCCCATGTAAAGTTGTGGCCAATTAGCTGTAGCTCCTGCATGCCCATTCTATATATAAACTTATTAAAATCTTTAAACTCCCTCTCTGCTTTCCTTCTACCCCTACTTTTCTCACTAGCATCACAAATCTCATTCCAGCCCCCCTCCCCCCCAAGATCCATCTACTACTCCAACTACTGTTAGCATCCTCCAAATATTACCATTGTTGTATTCTTTCTCTCTTATTAGTGTTGGCATACATAAAGGTTATCCACACATCCCCATCCTCCCCTGAACCTGCTACCTCTAGTTGAATACTGAATTGATTGCTCAGAATTTACTTAACCCTTGCATCTTTCCTCCATAAAACTAACCCTACTGAGCCCTTGAGGTTCAACTGCAAACCAACTATCTCTAAATCCTATTTTATTACATATTGACTTCACAAAATTATTTGGTTTTTTGGTTTCTAAAAGAAAGACAAAATCTGGGTGGTGGTGTCTAGAAGCCTCCTTAATTAGTGAAATTGTAGAGGGTCCACCCAACCCTCTTCAATTCCACATTATAAGCTTCATTGATCAAGTGGGGGCCACTCAAGGCTGGCCACCCCCACCTCCAAAGAGTTGTTCTTAAATTTCTTGCCTTCCCTCAATTCTGTTCCTATGCCTTGCTCCCCTTCTTCCTCAATAATAAGAGCTCTTTTTCTCCTCTTAGTCTGAGCTTCTTTTTTCTCAGAGTTGCTCCTTAGAGATCTGATGCTTTGGCTTCCAACAACATTGGCATTTCTGGTCCATTCTCTTTTTCTCAGAGCAGTGATCTTCTATTGTCACCCCTCTCTGTCTGGTTCTTAAAAGTGATATCTGGAAGAGTTTTAACCATCTTAGTCTCCATGGCTAGAACTATGCTAGCATTTGTGCCTTGTATCAAATTCCCTTCAGCAGTGGATAAGCAGGCTTCTTTCCCTTTGCTTATTGCATTTTGGAATGGTTCACCTTACTCTGTATTCTCAGCAATACTAATCTCGTTACCAATTCCAGTTTGCACACCACTATCTGCTGACTTGAAACCTGTGTCTCCCTCATGTTGTTCTGAATTGGTCTCTTGGCCTTGGGCATGATTTTCAGTAGATTGACTCCCTAGATTAGAGGCTGAGTTTGACTTATACCCATACTGGACATAAACTGCTCTCAGCCAATCTCCATATTACCCCTCATTTAGAGATCCGTTAGCAATATCATCCACCTTCTTGCTGCAAGCTCTTTCCAAATTGCCAATGAGTCAACAATAAAAACATACATTCACAAGCTTCCCATACTGGAAGAATGCCCTAACCTGAGTATCATGAAGTTTAAGTCAGACAATTCGTGGCAGAGGTTTATTCACATCAACCACAACTAACTATCATAAGAAACTGCCCCTTTGGCCCCCTGCTTTAATCACCGAAGCATTTTTGACTTGTAAGAAAACTTTCCCAACCTTTAGACCAACTTCAGTGCATAGCCAATTTATAGGAATATTACTCACCAGGACCCAAAGATGTAGTTTTGAGAATCAGTGATGCTTCTCAGTCATCCCTTCCTCCCATTCTGCCAAGATCAGATATTGATTCTCAAATACCCAGTTAGTTCCCCCAAAGAACCTTATTTTTATCCTCAATGCTTCCAAATAGGAATTAGAAAAAGTTAGTCTTCAGTTCTCTGACCTCTATTTGATTCTGAATCTGCCATATTGTTCCCATAGTAATACCAATCAGACTCGCCCGCCTATCCCCAGATTTTCCCAAATAAGCTCCGTTTACATTATGTTTCACTAATCTTGATATCCTCATCCTTTAGGTCGATGACTTGATTTTCCGATTATGATATTTCTATGTTCTGCAGACGACAACCGAGGTCTTCCGTGTCCTTCACAGAGCTCGATGCTCTAGAAACATCGAACTCCATAGCGTCTACGAGGTAAAATCTCGATACATACTAGGTCAAGCTTGTAATCAACAAAGGTGTCCTCCCACCAACCCTCGATGGAATTCAACCCTTCTTCTAAGAGAATCTAACCACTACTTGGTAGAATTAATTTATTAGTTAGTCATTCGGTAATTTTTTATTCAATCGCGTAGAATAATTTTGAACCGTTTTCGACCTATTTTTCTTTGGCATTTTATCCGAACCTTGAAAGTCTACTTTTCAGCCCAAATATGTTAGAAATGTTGGGTTCGATAGTACCGTACAGGCTTTAAGCAGCGGAATTTAAAATTTTTCAAAGTAAGTATTTATCGAATAAATACAACACCCGCACATACTAATTGCGAATTAACTGATCGTCATCTTTAAAACATGCATCACATACAAATTTTGATTTGTTATAATAAAGTAAATACAAATACAAATAAATAATATTTACCGAGTAGTTCTTGAACTCCTTCAATTTAACCGAAGTGGATTGTGGGAATCGGTTCCCGGTTTGATAACTTCAATGGATTGAGGTTACTCACTTTAGGAATCCAAGTGTCTTCCCTCTAATCGTATCCACCCTATGAAGCCCGGTTCCGACTACCTTCCTTCGCTAGTAGGAATGTCTCGGTTTTCTTGTATAGGAATATGTATGAATTTTATTTTGGGAAATTTCAAGAACTCTTTCTTGATGTTTATAAAGAACTATTCTTCTATCTAACACTTAGAAATTTTAGGAATGAATAAACCTTTTATGCAAAACCATTTTGCATCTATTTATACTAAACATTTTAGCATAAAATAATCAACATTTAGTAATATTTAAATAAAATCAGATTTTATTTAAATAATATTTACTAACTATTGACTTTGAAAATAATAAATAATGTTAAGTGGTTCAAACCACCTTTAACCACCATTTTATTATAATCATATTTATTATTTTAATCCTTAAATCATATTTAAAGATAAAAATGATAATAGAATAATAAATCTTGAGAATCTTTTCAAGACTTTATTAATATATTCATTTTCCCAATTTATATCCATATTATAATAATCATATTATTATTATTTTGGATTGGAAATTTAAAATCCAATTTTAAATTCCAACATATTAATTTAGTAATTACCTTAATTACTAAAGTAATATCCAAAATGTAATTAATCAATCTTATTGATTAATATATTCCTTTTAATTGACATCTAATCAAATTAGATTATGTCAATTAATT